GGGGTCTGCAACCCGTGGCTCCGGAGCTGCATGTGGCTCTTTTACACCTTTGCCGCGGTCCGGGCGGATACTAGCGAGGGGAGGAGGCGCATTGTGCGCCCTGACACTCCCCACTGTGGCGGGCGCTGTACTGGCTGTGACGTCGCATGGGGGCGGTGCGTGCATTAGTCACGCACTGTCCCGACGTCACCTTCCCCGCCCGCTGTCAGGATCACGGCTCCGGAGACATAATTGTTTTAAATGTCTCAATGGTTTTGCGGCTCCCAGTTTTCCCCCCCTTCGGAAACGAGTCCAAGTGGCTCTTTTTGTCTTAAAGGTTGCAGACCCCTGCCTTTAGACCACAGCGCCACCACACATCCCCTTTCCACTTAAGCACGCATAGAAAGGTAAAGGTAAAGGGACCCCGTGGCTGACTCTGGGTTGCGACGCTCATCTCGCTTTATTGGCCAAGGGAGTTGGCGCATACACACACACAAATGTGTGCTGACCTGAAGAAATCCTGTTCAGCTTATAGAGATGGGAGACACAGAGGCATACCAACAAACGAACGTGTTTGCATTAGGAGATGTCCCTGAATTAGAGGACCTTATGCATTATATCTTGCGCTGCCCCTTATATAATGAAGGAAGAGAAAGATTTTTAGCACCTATAATGACAAGGTCCCCTGGCCAGAACCCTTCTGACATGATTTTATATCTCCTCGCAGACACAGATAAGTATGTGACCTGGCGTGTAGCACTCTTTGCAACTGCTGCTAGGAAAATTAGAGCAAATTATATAGCCAAGGTAGCCACCAACTGTAAAGGAGATGAATTTATTTGACCCTATCTACATCAAGCTATATTCTATCTTTATCACCAAACTCCAAATATAATTGCACACTGTATTAATTAACATTATTTTTTAATACATTAGTGGCCATGTGATAATTTTAGCTTACTCGCACCCATAAGGAACCAGAAACCTGAATTTATTTATTTTTAAGGAAAGAAAGTGGAGAGCCGCAGGAAGCAGAATTCTGAAGCCAGTGCTGAATTCTGATCCCGTTCTTTGCTGTGGCAGCACTCGGCCCTGGTTGTCCCGTATTACAATAACTATCCTTCATTTGGGATACATTTTCTGTCCATTTTAAAGAATACTTGTTTAACCCCCTTGCCCCTTATGTCAGTGAGAAATTGCAAGAGGAGGATCAAAAACCAGCAGAAAATTCCAGAGGGCTGGAACTTTGTGGGACGTTCCTCAGAGGGCTATAGGTTCAATCCCTGGCATCTCCAGACATGCCCCTTGGCAGAATGGGTGAGAGTCATGCTGGCTTGCCTTACAGGGCTGTTGTGAAGGATTACATCTAGATGACGGGTATAAAGCACTTTTGAGCACTTGAAAGTGCTATACCAATGTTAAGTAGTATTTATTATAAAGAATGGATTGGTATTATTACAATGATAAGCCGTTTTTCCTCTGAGAAATGGCACGCTGGTTCTCTCTCTTTCCCTGTTTTATCCTCAAAATAATCCTGTAAGGAAAGTTAGGGCTGACTGCCCCAAGTTCACTCACTACCTGGCTGAGTTAGGGTTTGAATGCTGCCACCACACAACCTTGAACTGAAAGGGCGTTTTTATAACCCAAAGAGCAGGCTGGGAGTGCAAAAAAAAAAGAAGGGGGAAAAAAGACTCATTTGGTTAAGGGGGACTTTGCTTCCTATAGTAATACCTGTCTGCTTGGAAGCAAGTCTCACTCAGTTCTGTGGGGCTTACTCCCACAGGCAGCAATCCTACACTGGTGCAATCCACTGGTGACAGCAGTCACGAAATTAAAAGACGCCTGCTTCTTGGGAGAAAAGCAATGACAAACCTAGACAGCATCTTAAAAAGCAGAGATATCACCTTGCCAACAAAGGTCCGTATAGTTAAAGCTACGGTTTCCCAGTACAGTGGTACTTCAGGTTACATACGCTTCAGGTTACATATGCTTCAGGTTACAGACTCCGCTAACCCAGAAATAGTGCTTCAGGTTAAGAACTTTGCTTCAGGATGAGAACAGAAATCGTGCTCTGGAGGCGCGGCAGCAGCGGGAGGCCCCATTAGCTAAAGTGGTGCTTCAGGTTAAGAACAGTTTCAGGTTAAGAACGGACCTCCGGAACGACAAAGGTCCGTACCCGAGGTACCACTGTAGTGATGTATGGAAGTGAGAACTGGACCATAAAGAAGGCTGATTGCCGAAGAATTGATGCTTTTGTATTAAGGTGCTGGAGGAGACTCTTGAGAGTCCCATGGACTGCAAGAAGATCAAACCTCTCCATTCTTAAGGAAATCAGCCCTGAGTGCTCAGTGGAAGGACAGATCGTGGAAGCTGAGGCTCCCAATACTTTGGCCACCTCATGAGAAGAGAAGACTCCCTGGAAAAGACCCTGATGTTGGGAAAGATGGAGGGCACAAGAGAAGGGATGACAGAGGACGAGATGGTTGGACAGTGTTCTTGAAGCTGCCACATGAGTCTGACCAAACTGCGGGAGGCAGTGGAAGACAGAAGGGCCTGGCGTGCTCTGGTCCATGGGTCACAAAGAGTCCGACACGACTAAACAACAACAAGCCCCACTGAATTTAATGAACTTGCTTCCGAGTAGACAAGTATGATAGGATTGAACTACAATCCCCAGCCCATAGGTCTACCTAGAAAGTAAGATGCATTGTAGACAGTGGGACCTACTTCCGAGTAAATTTGCACCTGAAATCATCAGAGCATGCCATCAAAATAAGAGACCAGACATTAAATTGCAGGAAAAAATTGTGCACCACTCAACCAATAGCATTCAGCAAGCGCTTCTGGGAGGTTACAGACGGATCATAGCTAAGGGGCAGAGTATCTGTGTTGCAGATTCAATCCCTGGCTGAGAGACATCCTCCAGTCGAGTTTGGATTTGATATCTCGCCTTATCACTACCCAAAGGAGTCTCAAAGCGGCTAACATTCTCCTTTTCCTTCCTCCCCCACAACAAACACTCTTGTAAAAGGAAGCTTCCTATGTCCCTGATATTATATTTCTTTCAGAAGGCACTGGGAGCTTTGATCACTTTCAACAGAATAAAATGATATGGAGCTCCCAAACCGGAAGCCGATGGGGCAGTTTGTGACTCAACCCTTTCTATCTCTATGAGCCAATAGCGGCTTTCTAGGTAATGTCTGCCCACTCTGATTGTGGGAGAGGCTGCACCGTAGAGATTTTCTTTCAAAAAGTGAAGAGTGGCGCAGCCTGCGTTTCTAGTTTCGAAGGTGGAGGGGAAACCTATAACCTGTAACTTTCATCTTTCCTGACCATTGGCCATGCTGAGTGATGTGAGACAGGAGTCCCAACAAACTTCCTAGGTGGGCCACACTCTCCACCCCCCCCCAAAAAAACACTGGCCCAACCAATATTTTATTGTAGCTGTAATTGGTATATGCCCCCCATTCTAAAGACAACCCACAGCATCATAGATGGGCCTCGTTTGCATGCAATAATAAGAGCCTTGCTGGATGAGAATAAAGGCCTCCTTAGTACCCCAGTTTCCAACAGTGGTCAGCCTCTGGGAAGCTCGAAAGCAGAACCTGACCCTAGGAGTGCTCCACTTCTCCTGATCCTCAGCAGCGGGTTACCATTTCTGATCCTGAAGAGGTAGCATATATGACTACTGTATCATTAACAGTGGCCGTTGAAAGCCGCCTCCTCCATCAATTGGTCTAATCCCTTTTCAGCGCATCTAAGACAGTGGCAGTGAGTTCACTGGTTAACCCTGTGCCGCTTAATATTTCATGTGACTTGAGTTCTTTTGGGTTTCAACGACAGCAAGAGCAACTCTGCATTGAGAGAAGCACAAAAGCTGCTGTGTGGCAGCCGAGAGCTGGATTTGGAGTGGGTTCATAGCTGTCAACCTTCCCCTTTTTTGCGGGAAATTTCCTTATTGCCAGCGCTGTTTCCTGCTGCTTCCTGCTGCTATCCCCGGATTGTTAGATATCCCGTAGACTGTCCCAGGACAGGTGAGGCTGCTGATCCCTTATTTTCAAATCTGAAAGTTGACAGCTATGGACTGGATAGGAGGAAGGAAGGAGGGCAGTTTTAAGAAGCCTTTGCTACAGCTCGAAGGGGAGATTTTTTTTGGCTGCAGATCCAAACCAGCCCCAGCCTGAGCTCCCGACCTAAAACCAAACTACATTTCAGGGTGGTTGTGTGCGGAAGTTTCATCCACTTGTGGCTGAAATGCAGAGGTCATTGCAGCACTGGACTCCACAGCAAGGCTTTTGTGGTGGTCGCAACTCAGCTCCACCCCACCTTCAGCCTGGAAAAGGGATATGATAACAGTGCGGCCTATATTGCAGGGTTGTTGTTGTTGCAATTAACCACCCATTGCAGGGGGTTGGACTAGATGACCGTTTGGGTCCCATCCAACTCTCCAGTTTTATAGTTCTGTGAGTCTGTCTCAGCCTGGCCCCCAACCTGCAACATGAACATTGGACTACACTGCAGGGTTGCTGTCAGCTAGAGCACCCCCGCCCAACAACCTGTAATAGTATAATATAATTATTTATTTCTTTACCCGCCCATCTGACGGATAATAGGCTAAATTTGCATTGGGATTATTTGCAAGGTCAGGCTTATTTTAAAACCCCTATTAAAAACCCTCACAACCTTGAAATTTTATGCACCAAATAAGAGAGGAGTTATCGATCTTTTTTTCCATTGTTACTTTTATGTTACCTGCTGGAAACCGCGGGTAAAATCCTGCATCTCTCCATGGTATCTATAACAGGGGCGTTGGCACCGATATATATATATTTAATGGTTTCTCTAACGGGGGAACCCGGGAATTTGCTATTCGCACCATGAGATGTGTCGCCTTTCCCTTTTCTCTATGTACTCTGTGGATTTTTGGCGAGGCATCTCTGTGATCATTTCCTCCTTATTCTACTGGGGGAACCCACGCGGAGTTTGAATTTCCCAGGGCGGCCCAAGGCGAAATCGAAGGCAGGAGAAGGGGCGAAGAAAGCCTTGCAAAAGGATCAGGTGAGAGCATGGAAGTGCACGGGAGCTTCTCTTTCCAAAGCCTGTTCTCTTTCCGCGCCCCCACCGGAATTCCTTGAGGGCTAGTGCATTGCTCAGTGCAGCCTCCCATCCAAACACAAGATTCCTAATCTTAGTATACCTAATAGGAAGGGATGATTTGGTCAGTGGGCCTCTACCTTTTGGCGTTTCTTCCTCCCCAGCTTTTGCTGGTTCTGAATGTATTCGGGGTGAACCTGCTGCAAAGACTGCATTGCTTTTTGCACCTTTAATAATTGTGTGTGCAAAGAGGGCATGTCCGCTAACACAGCATGTCCTGCCAAGCTGAAAGAACCTCTTTTGCACAATTAATTAAAGGTGCAAGAGCCTGGTCCCCATTTGCAGCCAGCCCAAACCCCTCCAATGAAATATACTTAAATGTGGAACACTGTGACTTATATAGTATACAATGGTGATAAGTGATTACAAATATTGTGCTTTGTGTTAAGCTGGCTTGCATTGTTAAGTGTATTTTGTTTGCATATTGTTGTCTGCTAATATTAAACGAAAAGGCGAGGTTTAAGAGAGGGCAGCTGCCACCTTCGTTGCATAAGCTTTCAATGCTCCTCTTTTCCCTTGCCCTTCTGCACCTGAGAGGTGTGTTTCAGGGATTCACCCTGTTCTTGTAATGGTACATTATTTTAGCAGAAGTTTAATCCTGCGTTTTTGCTATTTTTGCAACCCACACCGGGAGCGTACTATGAAGGACAGGTGAGAAATCCTATAAATGATTAAGATAGTTCCAGTACATCATCATCATCATCATCATTTATTTCAATAAATGATGATGATAATAAATTATAGCTATAATAAGCCCAAAAAATGATGAGGAAGACTTTGAAAATAAATAAAATGAGGAAGATTTTGATAATAAATAAAAAGAATAAAAGTACAAATAAATAATGATGATAATGAATTATAACAATAATTCCAGTAGAGGATAATGAATAGTAATAATAATAAAAATAAATTATAGCTATAAGAAGCCCCAAAAAGATGAGGAAGATTTTGATAATAAAAATAATAAAAATACAAATAAATAATGATGATGATAATAAATTATAACAATAATTCCAGTATAGGATAATGAATAGCAATGATGATGATGATGATGATGATGATAATCCCAATAAATGATGAGGATTTGTATAATAAATAAAAATAATAACAGTACAAATAATTAATAATAATAATAATAATAATAATAATAATAATAATAATAATTTATTATTTATACCCCGCCCATCTGGCTGGGCCTCCCCAGCCACTCTGGGCGGCTTCCATAAAAACCAAAAATACAGTAAAATATCACATGTTAAAAGCTTCCCTGAACAGGGCTGCCTTAAGATGTCTTCCAAAAGTCTGGTAGTTGTTGTTCTCTTTGACATCTGCTGGAAGGGCGTTCCACAGGGCGGGTGCCACTACCGAGAAGGCCCTCTGCCTGGCTCCCTGTAACTTGGCTTCTCACAGTGAGGGAGCCGCCAGAAGGCCCTCGGCGCTGGACCTCAGTGTCTGGGCAGAATGATGGGGGTGGAGACGCTCCTTCAGGTATACTGGGCCTTTGAGGCCGTTTAGGGCTTTCAAGGTCAACACCAACACTTTGAATTGTGCTTGGAAACGTACTGGGAGCCAATGTAGGTCTTTCAAGACCGGTGTTATATGGTCTCGGCAGCCGCTATAATTATTATTATTTTATAACAATTAACTATAATTATTATTATTTTATAACAATAATAATTCCAGTAGAGGCTAATGAGTAGTAGTAGTAATCATCATCATCAACTCTGGTGATGACAATCAGCTTGGATGGCTTTAAATGAGAATTGGACAAATTCAGGGAGGAGAAATCTATCTCTGCTGCTAGCCGTAAAGGCTGGAGGCAGAAATGCTTGTGAATTGTTTCTGAAACCACAGGAGGTTGAGAGTGCTTTTGTGCTCGGGTCCTGCTTCCGATTCCACCCTCCAAATGCCTTTGTGCACGACAGGAGAAGGAACTTCGTCTCTCGTTGCCGCACCACAACTCCCATCAGCCCCAGAAAACGTTGGCCAGTGATGAAGGGAGTTGTAGTTCAGGAGCGTCTGGAGAACCAAAGTTTCCCCACAACTGATTCTTTGCGGCTAAGAGGACCAAAATTTTTTCTCTGGGCACCCCTTTCTTTCCAGTGAAGTGTTGTAAACAAAACATCTGCCCTTCTTCCCTTATGGGGACACAAGAGCCCATATAGAGTCCTTATGTGGGTTCCCTATTGCTAGGAGAAAATAACAGAGGCCAACCAGAGAATATTGAGAAGCAAAGCAGCTAGTAAGCCTGATCTTTATTGATCTGTTGCAACAGGGTGCTCTCCTCACATGCAGGAGGACGGAGGAGGAACCCAGAACAAAGGTGTGCCTGCCCTTATACAGAAATTTTAAATTCCCCGCCCTGGAGCTCCAGACCACCTCTCCATACATCATACATATATCACAGAAAAGGTGGTCTGCAGCAGAAATGCGTTGTTTATCTCCTGTCTGGCAGGTTACCTAGTAATGCTCACTTGATTGGATACCCTGGGGAACCTGGCCAGTCTTTTGTAATGATAAATACTTAGTTCCTGAGCCAGGTCACAGACTCACCCTATTCAAACACAGACAGACATACCCTTAAGACAGGTTATAGATAAGACAGGTTACAGATCCTTAAGACAGGATTTGTGAAGGAAAAGACGATGGGGAGGCTTTTCCATTTTCCTTTGACCTTGCAGAGAAAACATTTGGTCAGTTTGGGAATCAAACATGGTTTCAGGTCGGTCTTCCTGTGCTGATCTATGTACGTGCTTGGTTGGTACATTTCTGAACATTTATTATATATCTAAGACTTATAAATTCTTATCACAGAAGCACCTGGGTTCTTTCTTTTTCCCCCTGCCTTTTGCAGCAAAACCTTTTTTGTGGGACTGGCTAGCCGCAGCTCGAGCTTCACCCGCCATTGGCTTGAAAAAGGAAAATGGCCGCTGAGCCAGGAGATACGTTGACCTTGAGCCTACCGCCCGGTGCTGTGCTAAAGCAGAGGATGAAAGTGGAGGAGCCAGACCCAGCCGAAGTGGGGAAAGGCTCTCGTGCCATGCAGGATGGGAGTATGAGGGAATTCTGGGAGAGAAACATGTCGGGCCACGTCAAGCAGAAGCCACAGAAGGGGCTGCAGCAGCCATGGGAGGCCCAGCTACAGGAGTTCCTCAGAGCGATGGAGTCTTCCCACTCCGATGGGAGAGACCAGCACCAGCGGACGTTGGCGTTGCGGGATGAGGCCCAAGCTGGCCTGTCTCCAGGTGGTGCCAGGCCACGCCAAGTCCCTTTCCCGCCACATCCCAGGAGAGAAGACAACAACCTGCTGGCCAAAGAGGAAAGAGAGAGTGGGAAAGTGAAGGAAGAGGAGATTGGTCCTGACGCACAGCGGCAACACTTCCGGCAGTTCGCCTACCAGGAGGGGCCTCGAGAGACTTGCACCCGGCTCCGGCAGCTTTGCCACCAGTGGCTGAAGCCCGAGAGGCACAGCAAGGAGCAGATCCTGGAGCTGGTGATCCTGGAGCAGTTCCTGGCCGTCCTGCCGTCGGAAATGCAGAGCTGGGTCAAGGAATGTCGCCCGGAGACCTGTGCCCAAGTTGTTGCCCTGGCAGAGGAGTTCCTACTGAGGCAGCAGGAGGACGAGAGACTCGGAGGGAAGGTGAGAGGTTTTAGTGTAATAAATGGCTCATACCGAGTCAGACCCAGGTCAGTATTGTCTACACGGATTGGCAGGGGCTCTGCAGGGTTTTCAGGCAGAGGACATTCCCATCTGCTGCATGCAACACAGATGCTCTGAGCTACAGCCTTAATATGGTTCGTTCCAGTGGCTTTGTACCGAACCATAAGGCCGCATCTGCTCTATGTACCATATTTTTCGCTCTATAAGACGCACCGGACCATAAGACACACCTAGTTTTTAGAGGAGGAAAACAAGAAACAGGAAAGCAACGCAAAGGCTCTTGAGTGAAGAGGCAGGAGCGCTCCGGCTGCGCTCAAGAAGCCTTGCGTGGCTATCCCTAAAGCCAGGAGAGCACACATTCTACTCATGTAAAAACACGCTGATTCTCAGACCATCCGTGGGCCAAATTTAGAAGGCAATTGGGCCAGATCTGGCCCCCGGGCCTTAGTTTGTCTACCCATGAATTACAGTAAAGAATTACTGTAATCAATAAAAATTAACAGCAAGTCACAATGCATAAAATTTCACCAAAACATACAAAACTATGTAAAAGAATCAAAATTTATCGGCTACTTGATTTATCGGCTACTTTTAAAATGAGGCTGCATTTAAATTGCATTTTAACCTGTACTGTTAAATTGTGTTTTCCCCCATCATGTTTTTTTACTGTGATTTTAATTGGTGTTAGCCGCCCTGAGCCCGGCTCTGGCCGGGGAGGGTGGGGTATAAATACAATTTATTATTATTATTATTGAAAAACAAGGATTCCCGTTGGAATAGAGGGCAGGGGTGGTTGTCGACAGAAACATGGCACCCGCTTTTCATTTGGAGGAAAAGCGAGCTGTGGGTTGTCCAATCTGGAACGCAGATGTGATCGGAGGGCCTGCGGCCACTTTCCCCCCGAAATAAAAGTAGGGCTGTTAAGCAGGCTAGTTTTCAACACAATGTGTCGCTTGGCCCTGCAATAAGAGGATGGGTAGGCAGTTTTAGATCTTAACACGACATTCTGAGTGCTGGTATTATTTATTTAAGTGAGACCCTCACTGTTTCTGTCTTATGTGCTGTTCAAGGAGGCAGTACGGGCCTTTCCTGAGGCAGAACGGGCTCCACCAGATACCTGGCCAAGGCCTCACTTCAGGGAGATCAAGCAAGAGGCCGACAGAGATGCCACCTTGCTTGGTAAGGCTTTTGTTTTTATTTCTTTGTCTTCTTTTTAAAAAAAATTGGTGCTCTGAAATCGCAAAAGGGAATGTTGAAGCTGCAGCGGCTTGCTGGGAGAATGGGTGGCGAACCCAGATACAGTCGTATCCTGGTTCTCAAATTTAATCCATTCGGGAAGTCCGTTTGACTCCCGAAACGGTTCGAAAACCAAGGCGCAGCTTCCAGTTGGCTGCAGGAGCTTCCCTCAGCCAACCAGAAGCTGCGGAAGCTGTGTCAGATGTTTGGCTTCCCAAAAGCATTCGCAAACCAGAACACTCACTTCCGGGTTTGTGAACATTCGGGAGCCGATTTGTTCGACAACTAAAGCGTTCAACTACCAAGGTACCACTGTATTCTGATTAGGCCCTCTCAGACGTCCAGAGATGCCCGGCCTTCTTCCAGCTTTTGAGACTGCTAGCCATAAAAATAAAAACCGAATGTCTCACACACGTGATCCAGCACCAGCTACAAGTAGTTGTCTATATAATCAGCTAATCTGAGAGGACATGTTCATCCTGGTCTAATTTTGTGCCATCAGGGCCCATATATTTTTAATAGTATTTATGAACATTTTTGACTCCTTAAAATAACAAAATCTATATCAGCTAACATTTTTTGGAAACTAAATGACATCTCTTACTTAAATGTGCAGCTCTGAGCTGAGAGTGTGTGTCAAGGACAAGTTGCAAAACTTATTAAAGACCCCCAAATTTAGGTACCGCTTTGAAATCCTGTTTCAAATACCGTTTTGTGCACTGAGCTGACGAACTTTGTCTGTGCTAGCTATGTTGTCGGTTAAGTTTCATATTTACAAGTATAAAATCTTTATCACACACACACAAAAAAAACCCTCCAGTGAAGGTGAGTTCAACATCTCCTGAGACATTAGTAGGATCTGCATATGGCATTAGGGGGAAGGAGAGGAGCAACCCTGAAAAGCTGATCTACCTTCTTGTGGTTTTTAACAAATCTTTCCCCCCCCCAGCTTCTAAAAATACACAAAACGAACAAACCCCACATACCCCCAACCCTGTCAGAAACAGTTCATGCAATATAAATAATAAACATTAAGTTTGTCAATCATTTAGAAATAATTACATCAGTCTTCTGCTCTCCATCTTAACAGATTGTCCCAAAGTGAGGCATGGGCAGCTGGCGGTGAGAAGATAATTTTGTCTTTTCCATAATAATAATAATAATAATAATAATAATAATAATAATAATTTATTACTTATACCCTGCCCATCTGGCCGGGCCTCCCTAGCCACTCTGGGCAGCTTCCAACATAATATCAAAAACACAATAAAACATCATACATAAAAAACTTCCCTAAACAGGGCTGCCTTCAGATGTCTTCTAAAAGTCAGATAGTTGTTTATTTCCTTGACGTCTGGTGGGAGGGTGTTCCACAGGGCGGGCGTCACTACCGCACCATTCACTTCCTTCCTGTCTTGAGCCTGATTTTCGCCCACTTTCTCTTTTAAGGAGAGGATAATAACACCTGGATTATTTCCCCCACTCTAGCATGTTCTGCGGGGACACGTCGGAAGGAGAGGAATCACCCGGGCAACGCTGAGGAACTGGGGCCGTTTGTAGCGTTGTCAAGGGAAGACGAGCAAAACATCGCCAGTCCAGCAGAGGACTCTGAGAGCCTGCAAGGAAACGAACCGGAAGCACAAGGCGGGAAATTCATTAATTCTCAGGGTGGGTACGAGGACCTGGACGACAGCATCGCGCCACAGCCAGCCGCCCTGAAAGGTGAGCAGGAAAACGCAGGGGTTCAGTTGGGGCAAGTTCTCAGGCTGAGGTCCGATCTCATAGTGCACGAGAGGACACTGACGGGTGAGTCCCAGTACAAATGTTCAGTTTGCTGGAAAACCTTTTGCCGCAGGAACGTCCTCATCACTCATCAGAGAATCCACACCGGGGAGAAGCCGTACAAATGCTTGGACTGCGGGAAAAGCTTCAGCCAGCGGTCGCACTTGATCTTGCACGAGAGGACTCACACCGGCGAGAAGCCCTACAAGTGCTCGGACTGCGGGAAGAGCTTCAGCCAGAGGCCCCACCTGGTCAAGCACGAGAGGATCCACACCGGCGAGAAGCCCTACAAGTGCCCCTACTGCGGGAAGAGCTTCAGCGACCGCTCCACCCTGACGACCCACAAGAGGACCCACACGGGGGAGAAGCCATACTCGTGCGCCGACTGCGGGAAGAGCTTCAGCGACCGGTCGTCCCTCATCGCGCACAACCGGACTCACACGGGCGAAAAGCCCTACAAATGCTCCGAGTGCGGGAAGAGCTTCAGTCACCAGTCGACCCTCATTCGACACGAGAGGATCCATAACGGGGACAAGACTCTGAAGTGTTTGGAAGCCGGGAAAAACGCAGTCTCCGTCTTGGGGGCAGATAAGAGACCCCGCTTGGGGGACAAGCCCCCAGTGCCGTGGACCAATTCTGTGAGTTGGGGGGAGCCTCTGTCTCTGAGCCTCAGCAATGCCCCTTCTGAAAAATGAAAATATAATCTCCATCAGAGGGTTGTTTGGAATAAAATAAAATTAAAATTAAAAAAGGTAAATAAAATAAAGATGATGAAGCATTTTGGAAAACGAAAAGGGTGCTTGTAGTCCTTTTTTTTTTTTTTTTGCAGATTTCACCCTGCTAGTTTGCTAGCAGTTATTTGGACACTTAAAGGTAAAAGGTAAAGGGACCCCTGACCATTAGGTCCAGTCGTGGCCAACTCTGGGGTTGCGGCGCTTATCTTGCTTTATTGGCCGAGGGAGCCGGCGTACAGCTTCCGGGTCATGTGGCCAGCATGACTAAGCCGCTTCTGGCGAACCAGAGCAGCGCCCGGAAACACCGTTCCAAGCAACAGGAGCTCACCCCATCGCGGGGATTCGAACCACTGACCTTCTGATCGGCAAGTCCTAGGCTCTGTGGTTTAACCCACAGCACCACCCGCATCCCATTTGGACACTTACTTTATGGTAAACTTTATGGTGACAGTAGTTTTTCAAATAGATTGTAAAATAAAGATGGTCTTCCTCAGGACTTTTGCAGTTGTCTTGTAATTTTTATAGTAGAGATGGGAAACCTGCTGTGGCCCTGCAAATGTTTGGGCAGATTCGCACCATGATTTGCTGCAAAGAATCCTGGTTACTGCCTTTTTTAAGGGGGCTGGGAATTGTAGCTCTGAGGGGAAAACTACAGTCTTGAGAATTATTTGGGACTGGTGCTCATTAGGACTGGTAGGGCTAATGGCAGGGAGACCAACAGTAGGTGGTGCCAGAGAGCCAGTGACAGGCAGACCCAACTACAGTTCTAGTTGTCACGGAATCATAGAGTTGGAAGTGACCCCAAGGGTCAACTAAATAGAGATTTTGTCCCAATCCTCTTCCCTGCAGATCTGCATACTGATGGCTTGTCTAGCATCCTTTGGACAACCAGAGCTCAATGGGAAGCCGCCGCCCCGCCCCCACCAGCAGGACCTTGTATTCAAAGGCATATACAACCTCTGACAGCGGAAGAGGAACCTAGCTGTCAGGTGTCTTATCCGTTGATAGCCTTACCCTCCATGAATTTGTCTAACTTCCTTTCAAGAGGACCTTCTCGGTAGTGGCTCCCGCCCTGTGGAACGCCCTCCCATCAGATGTCAAGGAAATAAACAACTATCTGACTTTTAGAAGACATCTGAAGGCAGCCATGTTTAGGGAAGTTTTTAATGTTTGTGCTTTTAAGAGTCTGTTGGGAGTCTGTTTGGCTGGGGAAACCCAGTCAGATGGGAGGGGTATAAATAATAAATGATGATTATGGTGATGATGATGTTGGTGGCCATCACCGCCTCTTGTGGCAGTGAGTTCCATAGTTTATGCTCTGCGTGAAGAAGTCCCTCCTTTTGTTAGTGGATCCATGCTGTACTGTTAAAGCACACTCAATGCACCTTTAAAAAAACACAACTCCTGCTCCCCCCCCCCAACAATCCTGGGAACTGTAGCTTCACCCTGGCAGAGCCCCAAATTAAATTAAAAACTAATTTAAATTTAAGAAATAAATTAAAAAGCCTCTAATTAAAAAGCACCTTTCCCCATAGGGGAGCTAGATATAATTCTATAAAGCAAGGATTTCCCAGACTGGTCCTTGGAGGTTTACGCCCTCATATTGAAGCTAAGGTGAGCAGATGCACGAAGGAGTTAAAGCTAACGAGTCGATGCCCAGAGGGGCTAGATTTTTTAGGCGAGGAGGGGAGGCTGGCTGCGCGCAACCCGTGAGGTCATTTCCTGTTCCGCCCACCGTGGGAAAGTAGCGTTTGAATTTCCCACGCGGGGCAGGCGCAGCAGGCTTGTGGTTTCCCTCCTTCTTGGAGCTCCGGTGAGTCAGGCAGAGGACGGGGAAGGCCAGCAGGGGGGAAAAGACGAGCCCAAAGGAAACTGCACGGGAAGAGGGCAGGAGGAGGCAAGTCAGATGGGAGGACAGGACGCTGGTCTGCATCATGGCATTGTAGAGGTGGAAGGGACACCGAGGGTCATCTAGTCAACCCCGCATGCAGGAATCCAGGACAGATGGCCTGCCAACCTCCGCTGAAAGGTTGCTGCAAGGAGAGAAGAGTTCAAGACTCTGCCGCACTTCTCATCCCTCAGCCATGTGTTGTTTGCATTAGCTCCGTACTACGTGCCGTTGGTCCACCCTCTGGGAAGTTTATCCCTTGAGAGTCTGGGCTCTGATGTTGACTAAGT